GAATATATGGGGTTCTTTGATATGCTGGATCTTACCATGTATTTAGATTTTTTATTTGTGGGCCCGCTATCAAATTGGTTCATATTGAGGTCAAAAGGGTCCAAAATTAAACTTTGTTTGATTTCATCAAAAATTTAATTATTGGGGTTCTTTGATATGCCAAATCTAACCGTGTATTTAGATTTTTAATTTTGGGTCCCGTTTTTTAAATTGGTCTACATTAAGGTCCAAAGGGTCCAAAATTAAACTTAGTTTGATTTTAACAAAAATTGAATTTTTGGGGTTCTTTGATATGCTGAATCTAAACATGTGTTTAGATTTTTGATTATGGGACCAGTTTTCAAGTTGGGGTCCAAAATTAAACTTTGTTTGATTTCAACAAAAATTGAATATATGGGGTTCTTTGATATGCTGAATCTAAACATGTATTTAGATTTTAGATTTTTGGCCCAGTTTTCAAGTTGGTCCAAATTGGGGTCCAAAATTAAACTTTGTTTGATTTCAACAAAAATTGAATATATGGGGTTCTTTGATATGCTGAATCTTACCATGTATTTAGATTTTTTATTTTGTGGGCCTGCTATCAAATTGGTTCATATTGAGGTCAAAAGGGTCCAAAATTAAACTTTGGTTGATTTCATCAAAAATTGAATTATTGGGGTTCTTTGATATGCCAAATCTAACCGTGTTTTTAGATTTTTAATTTTGGGTCCCGTTTTTTAAATTGGTCTACATTAAGGTCCAAAGGGTCCAAAATTAAACTTAGTTTGATTTTAACAAAAATTGAATTCTTGGGGTACTTTGATATGCTGAATCTAAACATGTGTTTAGATTTTTGATTATGGGACCAGTTTTCAAGTTTGTCCAAGTTGGGGTCCAAAATTAAACTTTGTTTGATTTCAACAAAAATTGAATATATGGGGTTCTTTGATATGCTGAATCTAATCATGTATTTTGATTTTGGACATTGGACCATAATAGGTAAATTAAAAAAATTGAAGTTCTTAGACCACATTCTTTCTGTGTCAGAAACCTATGCTGTGTCAAATATTTAATCACAATCCAAATTCAGAGCTGTATCAAGCTTGAATGTTGTGTCCATACTTGCCCCAACTGTTCAGGGTTCGACCTCTGCGGTCGTATCAAGCTGCGCCCAGCGAAGCATTTTATTGATTATGGGCCCAGTTTTCAAGTTGGTCCAAATTGGGGTCCAAAATTAAACTTTGTTTGATTTCAACAAAAATTGAATATATGAGGTTCTTTGATATGCTGAATCTAACCATGTATTTAGATTTTTTATTTGTAGGCCCCGCTATCAAATTGGTTCATATTGAGGTCAAAAGGGTCCAAAATTAAACTTTGTTTGATTTCATCGAAAATTGAATTATTGGGGTTCTTTGATATGCCAAATCTAACCGTGTTTTTAGATTTTTAATTTGGGTCCCGTTTTTTAAATTGGTCTTCATTGAGGTCCAAAGGGTCCAAAATTAAAGTTAGTTTGATTTTAACAAAAATTGAATTCTTGGGGTTCTTTGATATGCTGAATCTAAACATGTGTTTAGATTTTTGATTATGGGCCCAGTTTTCAAGTTGGTCCAAGTTGGGGTCCAAAATTAAACTTTTTTTGATTTCAACAAAAATTGAATATATGGGGTTCTTTGATATGCTGAATCTAACCATGAATTTAGATTTTTTATTTGTGGGCCCCGCTATCAAATTGGTTCATATTGAGGTCAAAAGGGTCCAAAATTAAACTTTGTTTGATTTCATCAAAAATTGAATTATTGGGGTTCTTTGATATTCCAAATCTAACCGTGTATTTAGATTTTTAATTTTAAGTCCCGTTTTTTAAAGTGGTCTACATTAAGGTCCAAAGGGTCCAAAATTAAACTTAGTTTGATTTTAACAAAAATTGAATTCTTGGGGTTCTTTGATATGCTGAATCTAAACATGTGTTTAGATTTTTGATTATGGGCCCAGTTTTCAAGTTTATCCAAGTTGGGGTCCAAAATTAAACTTTGTTTGATTTTAACAAAAATTGAATATATGGGGTTCTTTGATATGCTGAATCTAACCATGTATTTTGATTTTGGACATTGGACCATAATAGGTAAATTAAAAAAATTCAAGTTCTTAGACCACATTCTTTCTGTGTCAGAAACCTATGCTGTGTCAAATAAATAACAATCCAAATTCAGAGCTGTATCAAGCTTGAATGTTGTGTCCATACTTGCCCCAACTGTTCAGGGTTCGACCTCTGCGGTCGTATCAAGCTGCGCCCCAGCGAAGCATTTTATTCTAGTTTCCAGACAATAACTTGTGTTCAAGTGTATGGATCTCTCTGAAATTATACTGCAAGGTACCATACCACAAAGGGAAGGCTGGGATTGATATTGGGGGTTATTGCCTCAAAATTTCAGGAATGAGGGGCCAAAAAGGGGCAAAAAACAAGCATTTTCCTAGTTTCAGGACAATAACTTGTGTGTAAGTGTATGGATCTTTATGAAATTGTACTACAATGTTCTATATCACAAAGGGAAAGCTGGGTTTGAGTTTTGGGGTAATTGCTCTAAATGTTTAGGAATTTGGGACCAAAAAGGGGCCAAAAAACAAGCATTTTTCTAGTTTCCAGACAATCACTTGTGTTCAAGTGTATGGATCTCTCTGAAATTGTACTGCAAGGTACCATACCACAAAGGGAAGGCTGGGATTGAGTTTGGGGGTGATGAATCATAAGGGATGTCAAAAAATTTGGGGGGAGGGATTTTTTTTTCCCTTTTTTTTTCTTTAAAATTTTCCATTTTAAATTGGTTATTTCTGATTTATATATAAAAGCAAATAATAATGATATGGTTTGAATAGGTAAATTTAAAATTTATAAGTTCTTAGACCACATTCATTCTGTGTCAGAAACCTATGCTGTGTCAAATATTTAATCACAATCCAAATTCAGTGTGTATCAAGCTTGAATGTTGTGTCCATACTTGCCCCAACTGTTCAGTGTTCGACCTCTGCGGTCGTATCAAGCTGCGCCCAGCGGAGCATTTTATTATGTCTGTTGTTTTGTTTTAATACTGTGGTACTTTGTAGACATTGATGCAGAAAATTATTGGTAAAAATTATGTAAATCAATAAACAGTTTGTATCCTTTAATATCTTTGAAAAATAGATAAAACATGATTCATTACAAAATATTCATCTAAATATTTATAGTAATTAAATCTTTTATAAAATCCATGATCAATAAAAATAAAATATCATTCAAAAGAGAACAAAAATGTTCAATTTAAAAAACTTTCTAGTTTCTAGATAGAAAGTTGTTGTATATAAAAGGATTCCTGTCATAAGGAGATATAAAATTAACAAGAACAAATATTATTTTATTATTTGAACCAGTTTCTATCTTAAATTTTAATAAAAAGAAATTTTTCATAAACTTTAAAACATTTTGCCATAAATATAAATTTCATGTAAATATTAACCTTTCTTGTCTTTGGTGATAATCAAACATAGATACAGACTAAATACTGCACTAAAATCTAAATCTTTATTTGTCATGATCCATTTAAAAAGAATTCCTAAATCTATTTATCTTGGGTCTATAGATCTTTAAGTAACCATATTCAATGTCAACAACAAAGTCTCCCTATTTTCCCGTCTAAATGACAGGAAGTAGATATAAATAGATTTTAAACATGTGCTTATGGATAATTTTTGCAAGATTACTTCTTTTATTCATTAATTTTGGATATAAATATCCAGTTTGAAGGTACAGTCATGCATTTTATTTATAAAATAGATTGCAATTAATTGTCAATAAACTTGAATTTTCTACTTGAATCAACTGGGTCATGTGATATGTACAGATGTCGGTCCCCTTTAAATTACTTATTGACAGGTACTAAAGTTTGAAACCCAACTATCATGCAACAACTATGTCATAATTAAAGATAATTTTGGCCATGGTTTAATGACTAATGTAGAACGGACATCGTGAATTTTGATAATCGTGTATTTCTGACAAGGAAAGCTTGTTCTACGTGCTTCATAAAGATTGAAAAATGTATAATTGACAATTATCTGTAATGAGCCAACAATTTATTATGTACAAAAAATGTTCCGGCCTGTGTACAACTATCGGCACTGTTTGTGTACAAAGTATTTGCCGACTTGTCACAAGTCAGCGCTTGGGTGGTGAGTGAAGCCATAAAATAGTTATCTGTAATCATAAATTTATGATCTCTTAATCAATTAAAATACAAAAGAATCCTGTTACAAGTATTAATTAATCGATTAGATCCAATCAACAAGGTTAACCTCATAAGGTAAATTGATCACATGGTGTAAACAATCTGGTTTGAACTGGTTATATTTCACCTGGAATTTTATATTGCACGGAAAAGATTGAACAAGTCGTTTAAAATTTTACCGATTTACAATTATTTAACTGAAAATTTTAACACCACAGACAAAAATAAGACCACCGTTCTAAAACCGATAGAACCACGCTCAAAAATTATACATTGCGGTAAAATTAACTAACTCTGGATTATTTAGTATAGTTTACTAATTCTAGATTATTTTGTATAGTTAACTGATTTTGGATTATTTTGTATAGGAAACTTATTCTGGATTCTTTTGTATAGTTCCCTGATTTTGTATAATCCACTGATTTTGGATTATTTTGTATAATTCACTGATTTTGGATTATTTTGTATAGTTAACTGACTCTGGATTATTTTTGATAGGAAACTTATTCTGGATTCTTTTGTATATTTTATTGATATTGGTTTATTTTGTATAGTTCACTGATTTTGGATTTTTTTGTATAGGACACTGCTTCTGGATTATGTTGTATAGCTTACTGATTCTGGATTATTTTGTAAAGTTAACTAATTCTCGATTATTTAGTATAGTTAAATAATTCTTGATTATTTTGTATAATTCACTAGTTCTTTATTATTTTGTATAGTTAAATGATTCTGGGTTATTTTGTACAGTTAACTGATCCTGACAATGAATCTGAAGCAGATGAGATAGAAGATGACTACTATGCTGATGATGATATTGATGCTTCCATGCCAGAGGCTGATCAAGATATGGCAAGAGGTGCTGAAGGGATAGATAGGTAAGAAATGTCACAATACTAAAAACATATGGTCATTGTGTGCATGGTGTTTAACTCTATCTGGTTTGTGAATAGGTTCAACTACAATTGGACAAAAGGGAGATAACTCCAATTCAAAATATTGCATTACTTAATACAATGTAATGTTTAGCTTTAAACATGGTAAATTCACTTTGCAAAATTAAAGCTATCTCTACCCTTCAGTACCCAAAATTAATTTGATTGTTTAAAACAATGAACTCTGCATGCATAGAGAAATCTATTTGATTACATCTTTTAATTGTATCAAGTTGATTCAAAATTCTCAAATGTGTTATTAAGATCTAACACAGGTATACTCATCTTAGATCCTTTTGATATACTTCCTTGCTTACTACCAGATTATTTAATTTTAAAGAGTTGTTGGTTTGATATTGTTCAATGTCTCTTCTGTAAAGGAGTAGGTCCAGTAAGACCCCTTTTTGGCCCCAAAATATAGCAGTTTTACAAAATTGTTAAAATGTAAACTTTAAGTTATTTATTGGTATGAAGAATGCTTCTGCTACATAAATATGGGCTGTTTTTGACAATACAATGCACATATATCGGGTACTAGCATCCTTTAGTCAGGCTAAATTACTGAAATCTTCACAATTTTAGCATTTTAGTTAAATTTTAGACGGTTTCCGTCTAAAATGAAAGTGGCCGCATTTGTGTTCATTCTTAATATTGAAATGTAAGTTGTATTTGATGATAATACATAACATATATAAAGGTTGAGATGAACACGGATGCGGCCACTTTCATTTTTGACAAAAACCATCTGAAAAGTGACATTTTTGGCATATTTGATATATTTTTCATAATTAAGCTTAAATCTGAGCGTTTTTAATGACTAAATCAGTTAAAATCTTTCACATAAACTAATAGAATCAACTGAAATAGACACTTTAGTGTTCAAAAAGTGTCCAAAATCCTTCGTCATATGAACCTGAAATTTGAGGCCAAAATCGGCCCTTACCGGACCTACTCCTTTAAGTTCTGTGGCCTTAATGATTTAGACAGTTAATTGAAGAACAAATTGAAAATCCTTAAGGGTTCACAAATAAAGAATTAAAGTAGGTATAAAGATAATAAGATGTGGTATGATTGCCAATGAGACAACTCTCCATAAAGACAAAAAGACAAAGATGTTAACAATTACAGATCATTGTATAAGAAATTATGAGCAAACACCATACTTTATAGCAAATTCAGGCAACAGTAGTTTTCTGTTGTTCAGATCTCACAAAGCGATTAAGAAGACAAATCAAGGTAATAAACAAAAACTGAGGGAATCGCATGAACTCCAGAAGGAGCGAGACTGGGTGTGTCAACAATGTAAGTATCTCCTGTTATGCATGCATCACCCACCATGGGAATCCACACTCAGTTAAAATGTCACAATCAGTAAAATTACAGATTAGAAGACATTCTTCTAAGCTATAAAAGGCCTTGTTATATCAAAATGTGAAACCATATGAAAGAGAAAACCAACTATATATGATAAATACTACAATGAAAAAAAATAAATTTAGCACATGCGAAGCAACAACAACCAGCAAATTACAGATGACTGGCTTGGGATAGGTACTTCAAGACTGTTGCTGGGTTTAACCAGTTTGTGAGCCATCATCACTCCCCATAACCTGGGACAGTGGTGCAACAACTTGATATCACTTGAAAGTCTATTTTTTATGAATCTATATTTTACCTATATTTATTTAAGTGGAGAAGAAGATGAAGTTGGAGCTAATTTCTTTGGTGATGTTGGTTCAAAAGCTGCTGTTGCAAGACTCATGTCAGGTAATTAGGTCTTTTTCAAGACTCTTGTATCTTTAACAAATTAAAAACAAATACTGTTTAGGCCAAAAATAAAATTAAGATTGTTTGATGTTGCCTACCTACCCATATAAAAAGCATACCCGAAAAATTTTATGACACAAATCGTTTCAATTTTTTATAGCCCTGCCGCAGTGATGGGGCATTAAGGGTTACCCTTGAAGTTGTCCGTCTGTACATATATCTGTACATACATCCTTACTTCCCAAATTTGGTTTCTGTTCTCTAACTTTAGATTTCGTCAGCCAAATGTTATGAAACTTATGTCCCTTTATAACGTTATATGCAAGCAGAGCATCATCTGTGTCCCATGGACACATTCTCCATTTATTTTTTAAAAAGTTTTTTTCATGCTATAACGTCATTTTCTTATCTAAAAAAATGCCTCAGTGGTCTCGTGGTAGCGTGTTTGCCTCGAGTGTGGGAGATCGGTCGGGTCAAACCAAAGACTTTAAAATTGGTATTTGCTGCTTCTCCGCCAAGCACGCGGCATTAAGGAGTAAGAGCAAAGACTGGTCGACTCAAGGTCAGAATAATGTGTCTGCAGACTGTTACTTTGTGAACTAGCACGTTAAAAATCCGGCTCAGCGTGTCGGTCTAGTACAAAGCAGGGTTCATATTCATATTACATGGACATGTGCTCGTCCTGAATATGCATATCAATTTGCCGCTGGATGTTAAGCAGCCATCCATCATCATCATCATCTTGTCTAAAACATGTAACTTATGTTGTAGGCTAAAAAAAAAAATCCCTACCTACCTACCCAATCCTACAAGGCATGGGTAGGCAACTTCAAACAAAGAATTTGTTAAGGGTGGCCTTACATTTATTAGTCAGTTTACCTTAAATTCATTACTTAAAATTCTTTATTGGAGTTTTCCTCTTATGATGTCGATGCAATAAAATGTGTCTACCACATCTTTAAAGTGTATGTGTATGTTATTCTAAAAATCGAAAGATACCAATACAACTACTGTAAATTCAGAAATTATTGCGATGTTTTTATTATTGCGAAAAATGCGACAGGGTTATAATCGCAATAATTGAAACTCGCATTTTGAAATTTTTTATATGATTTAATCAGGATTTTTCTCATTATCGCAAAAATTAAAATCGCATTTTAGTCTAAAAAGACAAAATCGCAATAATAAATGCATGCAATAATTTCTGAATTTACAGTAAAGAGAAAAATGTACTGTACACACTTCCTTGTAACTACTGATATAAAATTTTAATTAACTTTGTCAAGTCCTGCATTTCTATTTAGTATTTGTTGTTTGACTTGAAACAGACAGTAAACAGTTGATCAAACTAAGGAGACTTAATTAAAAATATTTTTGATCGATCTTGAAGTTTTACTATGCAACTTGTTATATATTTAACACTAATATAATAATGCTAAAAAAGGATCTTTTAAGAATATTGTCCTTCAGATCTTGTTCTGCGATGTATTTAATGTTCTGCACATGACATGCATACCCAGGTAATAGAAAAAAGTGATTGATAAAGTTTGGACTGAGAGAGTTATATGTTATGGGAGCTTTATGCTAGAATTTCATGTTCTGGATTAATTTGTTTTACCTAGTGATGAATTGTTAGGAATGATTTAGGCTTATCACAAAGGTATATTGAGTTTTGGTTGAGTACACCAGATAACTGGTTACTCCTGTTCTGTAGAGAATTATATATTTCCTGTGTTTCTTGACATTTGGAATGAACTAAAGAAAACTGTCTTTAATCATAAAGAGTCTACATATTTATATGCTAATTCATTGCATTTTCATTTAACATAAATGCATTGTTTCTTTACAGATTTAAAAACAATGAAGAAAGAGTCAAATAAATTTGGACTTGATGGAACTCCAAGGGGAGATAATTTATTTATATGGGTAAATCATTATATTTTAGAATTTGTGTGCCTTGGTGGTGTTTTATCTGATGTAAAAATTTCAGCTGCGAACTATTTCAAAGCTTTTAAAGGTGTTGTGTAAATTGTATATCCTGGAGTTATGCACTCTATTATAGTTTTGACTACTTTTTATGTGAATGTCACAGAAAACTTCTACTTCAAAAATTAACTGTATATACATGTTTTACTTGTGTGTGCTAAGAATTACAGGGATAATAATTATTATTTTTCTGACTGCCTTAATTTAAAATTTATGAAATTTACATAAATTCAGTTGTAGTTGAATATTTATATGCCTAACACATGCAGTATTTCTATATTTCAATATTTTTTTCTTGTCATTAGATAAAATCATAAGTTAATATATTTCTTATGTTTTATAGGATATTAAATTGAAAGATTTTCCGGTTGAATCAAAGCTTGGTAAAAACCTTAAAGAATATTCTGAAAAATTCAAAAGAGAAGTAAGTTTTGATGTACATCACAACTCATTCCAGTATTTAAATTGTTTGTGAGATCTTTTTCTTTTGAATATATATATATATATATATAAAATGACTGAATAATAGCCAACGATAAATCTTACGGGGCGATGGATCATATAATTATGATACAGTACACTTCATAATATAATATATAACAAGTCTAAAAGGGTACAACATCACCAAAAAATTATAATAAAATGAACAAATGTTAAATATTTCGGATAACAGATATCCTTCATCAGTATGATCACTATGTAAAATGAATCCTATCAATCTAATCTGATTATAAAACTATAACAATCTTGAAATTTATACAATAAAACAGTCAAAACTGAATATTATAGAGACGCTTGTACAATTCTAAAATTTTTAAACATTGTAAGTTATGTAGCTATATACAACAGTGACTGCAAAGATATGCTTCAAATAAAAATAGTAATGTGCGATATGAACTGGTACAACTCTAAAATTTCAAAGGTGACGACATTTAAGATGTTACAACAACGATTGCGTGAAAATACATTCCCAATGAACAGCACTGACTGATCCAAACTAGTATAATATTTCAAATTTGACAAAGGTAGAGTAATTAAAATAGAGGCTGCATATTTAAACATCCAAATAGATAGCAGTTTGATAATGATTAAAAGAAAAATAATAAATTTTGACTAAGGTTAAATAATTGAACTTGACTGTGTACTTATACATCCCTCCCAAATGACTAGAACCCTGTAATATATATATATAAAATTATGGAGATATGGTATGATTTCAAATGAGTAAAACTATCCACCAAAGACCAAAGGACGAGGATATATGTCTAGATCAGTCAGTGAGAATAAATGTCAGTAGGCTAATTCAGAAATAATGTTGCATTATGGTAGCATCACTGCTCTGGACAGATTGGTCTAAATGTTATTTATGAGGACTCTAAAGACTGCAATGCTATATACAAGGATATATGAAAAATTTAAGACTTTGTCAAGTGCCTCATTACAGGCTTGACCATTTTGGACATAGGTTCAGAGTGTTAACAAAAAAAACAAACTAACATTCATTCAAACAGATTTTAAAAGAAATTGATTTTATAGAACTTATATATATATCCTTTTTCAGGAAAGAGATTGGTGGGAGTATAATGTATAACCTACATCACATAAAATCAAATATGAGAATTTCAATGGTAACTCTTTTTTGTCTATTTCAGCCAGTAATACAGTTAGAGATGCAGTTTCCACATGATTATCCAATGACACCACCATTTGTCAGAGTAGTTAGACCCAGATTTAAATTTCTCACAGGTGAGGACCATCATGATTCGCCCATGGGTATATTTTGATAAAAACGACTTTCACATTCATGTATTTCCCCTATACGTTTCAGATGTCACAATGCTTATGTTATTTTGTCACAGAGCTGATTGTTCAATGACATCATTTATGCCAATTGACCTTGGGTCAACCAGTGTTACTTATTCATAAAAAGAGCTTGAAATTGTTCCATAGATGTTGTTATTTGATGCATATTTATATTTCTTACTGATGTCTTTGTTTTAAATTTTTCATGATTTTCCAAGTTATAAAAGTAGATATATGAATATTCACCAATTAGATACAATCAGACACAAACCAATGCCAAAAAAATTTAAAGGCAACTTTTGGTTAAAACTTATTCATGGTCATAGGGGGGGGGAGTGGATAGAATTATTCATGAGCTGCAAAAATCATGTCATGATATGTAAGTGTTCTTGTACAAAAAATGATTTACTTATTTTGTATATATTATGAACAAATTTTAAAAACAATTTTGTGACATTTTTTTCAGTTTTTATACGACCGCAAAAAATATTGCGGTCGTATATTTGTATCACGTCGTCGTCGTCCGGAGACATTTGGTTTCCTGACCAAAATTTGATTTCCGGACAATAACTTTAGTAAATGTAAATAGAAATCTATGAAATTTAAACACAAGGTTTATAACCACAAAAGGAAGGTTGGGATTGATTTTGGGGGCTATAATCCTAAAAGTTTAGGAATTAGGGGCCAAAAAGGGGCCCAAAAAAGCATGTTTCTAGTTTCCAGACAATAACTTGTGGAACGGTGTATGGATCTCTCTGAAATTATACCACAATTTTCCATACCACAAAGGAATGGTTATAATTGGCTTTGGGGGGTTTTGGTTCAAACCGTTTAGGAATTAGGGGCATTTATTTTTCTCCTTAAGATTTCAGAAATCAAAAAGAAAATTTCTTCAAATATATTTTTTTTGGAAAAAAAAGGAGGGGGGGGGGGGGGGGGGGGAATTTGCAACAGCATAGTGTTTTGCACAAAAGCAAAAAATTGAATATAAATTCAAATCATATAACCAATTCTAAGTTCTTTGAATACAGTTATTCTGTGTCAGAAACCTATTGTGTGTCAAATATTTAATTACAATCCAAATTCAGACCTGTATCAAGCGCGAATATTGTGTCCATTTTTGCCCCAACTGTTCAGGGTTGGACCTCTGCTGTCGTATCGAGCTGCGCTCAGCGAAGCAATTTTTTTTTTATTGCTTATGATTTTGTTTATTAAATTTTTAACTTGATTGATTTAACTTACAAAAAATGATACTGTAAACTAAAGTGATGGGTCAGTTTAGGATTTTGTTTATTATTATAATAAAGGTCTGTTTCCAGAGCTTTTCTAGGAGTTCATTTCTTTTTATTGGAGCCTTTGATAAATGTATTTTGATGAGTTGAGTACAAAATATTGCCCATTTCTAATCCCTTTGTAAATATATCTAGTTCACCAAATGCATTGATTTTCTGGATTAAATTTAAATTGTTATTATAATTTTATGTTGCAGCTTATAAATTAAAATTGAGATCAGAAGTGATTTGATGAATGCAAGATAATTTTATTATTTAGAAAAATAGAGATTTTATTAAGGGCACTCTATTTAAATTAAGTTTGAAAGGGGAACCACTGTTGATTTTAATGGATGTGATTTGTCTATGTGACATTAGGGAGGCTCTACCACAATATGCATCCCCCATTTTAGATAGAATTAAATTCTCAATATGAATTCACATTTGTTTTCTTGATTTTTATATTTGCAGGTCACATAACAATCGGTGGCAGTATTTGTATGGAAATGCTAACCAAATCTGGTTGGCGACCAATTAATGATATCGAGGTAATGATAAATACAGTGTTTGTTTTAATGTAATGATATTTGTTATGAATATAAAAAGGTGAGATAATAATATCAATACAACCCAACAAAACAATTAAAAAAAGAGAAAGATGTCTAGGAGTCCACTTAAGGGAAGATCAGCATACAATTGGGCTTGCCATAGTTCAAGCATTAATTTGTCTTGAGTCTTAATTAGTTGTGAATAAAACTACAGACACTTTTATTAACACCATTTTCCTTGACGAAAAAACCCTCTAAAATACAAATATGACAGGAACGTTTTTTATTGATTGAGGATGTTAGAGTACCAAGAGAAAACTACTACCTTTTGCAAGAAAACTTGCTATCCTAGTCAATTAAGATTAGTCAAACACACCTCATTATGATCAGGGTTCAAACTCACAACCTCAGTGTTGACAGGTGAGTGATCACTGTAAATGAACTACTTAGATCACATGAATTCAAGACCCCCTCTGAAAGAGATAGGACATTTTTATGATCAGACATCTCAGATGATATTCAAAGAATGAAGATCAAAATGGAAGTTTCACACTAAAATTCATACACTAGTGGACTGCAGTTTTGGGCTGTTTTCTGCTCTTTGATGCAGTCTCCGTTTCCATTCTCAATTTTATGTTTCGTTACTCCATGATTATGACTTCCTACCGCCTTTTAGGGACTTGATGGGGTCATTGGATGTACCACAGCCTTAGCTTGCCCCAAAAAGGCTATCAGATGTCTGAGCAATTTGGACTAATTTTACTTAAGTTAATTGAAATTACTAAGTGCTGGTGTACCACTGATCTTACAAACTGTCTGGTATATATAGCTTCCACCATTGCATCAAGTGTGTTATGATATTTCTCCACTCGAGACAGTTAAATTTTAATATTTAAAGCGCAAGGCTTGCCAAGCTTTTTAAATAATTAAAATTTAACTGTTGAGAGTAGAGAAATATTGTAATACACGAGTTATAGTGGTGGAATTTGTTTATCCTTCCTTTTCAAAGTTGTGTTCTTTATATGTGACGTCATCAGGCATGGTCGCCTTTTTTCATGACGTCACAATAGGAAATTTAACGTCATAATTAAATTTTGACCAATCAGTTGCCAAGACAAAAGTTTTCTCTGGAGATGAGAAATATTTTTCTCACAACGATCGAGAAATGTGAAAAAAGTATGAAAATTAGAGAAAAGTATTTGTATCATTGCAGATGATTTTAGTTCAAATCCGATCAGAGATAATGTCTGATAGTCAGGCTTCACTTGATATGAATGATGCCGATAGACCATACGGTGAACAGGAAGCTAGAGATGCATTTAATAGAATGGTCAAACGATATGGTTGGAATTCATAAAAGGAGTAGATGTTTGGATGTGTATGTTATATAAGAGAAGATGTGTGATTTTGAGTTTGACTGTAAATAAAAGTGACAACCATATTTCCTTACATAAGAAAACCATGATATGAGACTGCTAAACTGGGAACAAAATCAGCGAGAGAAAGTTTTGAATGCATAATTAGTATTACATGTATCATTAATCATGGAAATTGTAGATGTTAGATCTCATACTGCATGGTCCAGCAACATTTGTATTTTATCAAACTTGTGTATTTTTACTGAAACCCTTATTTAATGAAGCAGAGATGTTTATTAGTGATCATTGTATGCATTTGTTTGTCTGCACTTTGTATCAGCAACTAAGTACCTGTATTGTTACATGACTTTAAGAGGATCTTCAATTCCTTTTGTCAATAAACTCATTTTATTGAAGTAATTTTTTAGGATGTTCTATTACAAAACATCACTTTTGCCATTTCAACACAAATAAGGGAGAATAAGGGTATGGATTTGTTAGCTCTGATCATTTAGTTTTTATTTTTCTGGGAATTTTTATAATATTTTAATTATTGTAGATGTCATTTAATTTTTTTGTTTCCATTTTTTGTATTTTATTCAAACTGAAGAACCTACAATTTAATCTTGTTTCAGTAAATCTTATCTTTTTACTTCTAATGCTAAATATTTTTCATTGTTGTAAAAGTTCACATGATTATGACATGTTCAAGTACTGGTAGTATATTTAAATGGTTGTTAATCAATCTTTGGTTGCATTTTCATAAGAAGTAATGATATTTATATGCTTTCAGTTTTATGAGTTAGTGTTTTAAGTTAAATTAATTACAGTATTGTACTTTATTTTTATTTTATTTTATATTTTGTGAATAAAAGTTTAAAAAAAACCTATAAATAACCATTGTTTATGGTAGGTAGTATTCCTTTATGAATTTTTTTTTTCAGTGTTTGAGGGAATGAAAAATTGTTCACAGAGAGTTACATTATACATGTAGTAACAAAAAAAGTTTGTGCATATATTATTTGTTCTTAACCAACTGATTTTTCACCACAATTGCAAAATAGAATTACAGATAGGATTTTGTTTATCTTTATCTTTAGAGAATATGGTATTTATAGCAGATCTGAAATAGTCTTCATTGAATCTTTCAGTGCTTGTGCCAGTGCTCACCATTTACAAACTGATTTTCAAAAGTAAAGAATTATTTCTGTCAGATCAAATTTGTCTCTTAGATTTTAACAAAATCTACAACTTTACCTAGCAACATTATCTATTCGCAACTGCTTTTAGATTCTTGGTAATTTAGGGGATGATGTGTTGTATACTATAGACTCTTCTCTATTGTTGAAGACCATATATAGACCTCTAGGTGTCTTTTGGTTTTTTATGTTGTTGGGTTGCTGTCTAATTGACATATACTCCATATCTCCATTTTACTCATAGTAAAGTGCATCCCTGCAATATAATTCACTTATTCAAGTGAATGATAACAATTTTACGGGTTTACATGTATAAAATAAAGTGAATAATGAGACGATTTATTTTTTTCTTGAATTTAATTTAATATTCATGTGTAATGTATCAAAATATATAAACAAAATGACCATGATTGAATTTATGCATTATTTTGAAGTTAAGAATTTTATTATGTCTATAAAACTGTAATATAAAACAATGTCTGAAATAATCTGCTTTATGTGTTTGAAGCATATGTTTTTATATTGGTCAGAGATTGCACTTTTTCTGAATGGCCTGATTTATCAACTGGTAAGGACAAGACATATGGCCAAAACCAGTCCCCAAATCAGATGTTGGAGCAATCTCAGACTATAATAAAGTATGCAGTGTTTACTATTTGAAGTTTTGTATGTAAGTTGAAGTCTACAACCCCAATCAGTCCCAAAAACAGGCCTTTCAGTTTAATATAAGGACATTGAAAATAAGCTCTTTACTTCCATGGGTCGTCCTTGGGTGGAGGTATTAATTTGTATTTGTATATTAACTACTGATTAAATAATATAATCATTATTATTCTGCTATCAGAGCATTCTAAAACTATTATTATACCCCCGCTCTGAAGGAGGGGGATATACTGGTTTACTTCTGTGCATGTTCCCATCCTATGAAATTTTCCTCACATTTTTCTTAGGAAATATGAATTTGAGCTTTCTGAAATTTAGTATCAAGCTTAATGTGAGCATGCTTTATCGTGCGATGCATTTTCACATTCTTTGCTCATCGTGTCCCTTTGACCTCATTTTGTTATGTCATATGTTGTCTATTTTAATGATGATTCATTTTATACATTTCAAAAAATTCTGATAATCTTGTAATTTAACAGAAACAAAAGTAAAGCTACATGTAGCTATAGATGGTTCTGGTTATTTTGTGTATCTCTAATGGTATGTAGCTCCCACATCTTTGCCATTCCAAAACTATTAACTGTCAGCATTCCCCATAAAGTGTGGTGAAGAATACTTCATCAACTGCAGAAAATTGTATATATGTTTCTTTTATATCATGAGAATTATGTATGATCTCATATAATTTGCTGTTGTAAGATATATAATTTCTGTAAATGATTGAAATGTGTGATTTGTGTATACAATGTACCAGTAGTAAAAATGTAGCTTAAAGGGCATATAAACAAACCAATGTCTTTCTATGATACTTTTTGGGGGATTAAAGTTAATAAACTTGACATACTGTAAAAAACTTATTTTAATGGATACTTTTTTATAGGCAATTTACATTTTCCCTTTGATCTTACTGCCTAATATTTTGCTATATTGTGAACAGGACATGATACTCGAAAATATTCAGGCAATGATGTGGCTTAACAAATATCACAACGTTTTGTATGTGTACAAATAGGTTTACTAACTATTTAATTTTATTTCATATTCTCAACCAAAAACCATGCAGTTAAGACAAATTACAGATAAAAAGAAGAATGACATCTTAATTTTTTGATACTGACTTGATCAGCTCGAAAATCAGCTTGCCCTAGTGTGCTCGCTTGATATTCTTGTTGATAAAGTCAGTATCAATAACACAAAGGCCATTATCCTCAATTTATTGTTTAGTCCTTCTGGCTAAGTTCTCAAAGATATATTTTCTGGATTTTCTAATTTTGACAAATTCATGACTATTTGTATTTGTAGTATTTTTCTTTTTGCAAAACTCACATAAATGAGTTTGTTTATGGTATATCAGAAATCCAAAATTTTATACTATAAAATGAACACTACTTATTATACATGTCATACATGTAGAACTACTTGTGTATTTCAGTCTATGAAACAGATTATCTGCACTTGCGTACTAGTATTTCAGTCTATGAAAAATCACAGATTATCTGCACGTCATTATTAGAATATTTGGGTTGATTCTCTCTGTCATTTGATGAATTCTTGAATTACTTGGACAGATTAATTATAGACCATTCCATGTTATAAGTACCTATGGTGCACTTGTCAGAATGATTCTATTTCTATGCTTGTTTTGTTTTGATGTTACTGTAGAAGTACTTATATTCATAAATGACTGTTGTTTTTATTCTATTGACAAATAATTTGTTCATGAGTTTCTTATGAGTTATTATTATAATTATTGTACATTATGATAGGTCAATGAAACATAATATGCCTTTCACAGGGTATTTTAATGTATGGTTTTTAGGAGCAATGAAATATAAGAATTAATTGATACCAAGAAAGAGATGTGCTGTCACACGTATCTTACTTCATTTTTCAATATTTTCGACATCCAATACTTGGGTTCCAACTTACAGTACAACTTACAAGAAATAATTTTGGAGATGTACATATCATGTGTCAAATTAACTGTATCAGTTAGTGAAAAAGCATTTTAAAAGTTTAGTGTTTAATGATTGTTAATGATGCAAAAGTTTGTATATATGCGAATATTTATTTTGATGGAAGTAGAAAAAAACTGAAAAAAAAACATTGCTTATTGTTTGTAAGAAATACATTATTCTGTGATAAAACCAAACATTATTCAATAAAATATTAAAGAAGAGTATTTTTGTTAGTTGTTGTTTTAGTTGACTAATTTTGACTTAATGTTCATGGACAGAATAACAGGATATTCTATTTAATGTAAAGTGGGCATGTCTTATACAAACATCTACATATGTATCTTGTCTTGAATATGTATGAAATATTTGCCATTGGAAATTTAGCAAACAAAAATAATCATATTATAATTAAAACTTTTGCAATGTTAAAGTATGTTAAGAAGGGTTAATAGACCCTTATGTGTTCTGATACAATTATCAAAACATTAGTATTAGGATATGAAAGTTGCTACAACCTTCTATAAAACTTTACTTTTTTATGCCCCCGCCGTAGCTGAGGGGGCATTAAGTTTTACCCTTGTCCCTCAGTACGTCCCAAAGTTGGTTTCCGTTCTCTAACTTTAGTTTGCCTCAACCAAATGTTATGAAACTTATACAAAATTATTATTACCACAAAACACAGATCAACTTTGAATTTTTGTGGTGTCACTTAAACCGTTCTAGAGTTATGCCCCTTCATAAATGGAAAAATTGTGTCACTTTTACTGTTTTAGAGTTATGCCCCTTTACAAACAGAAAAATTGCTGAATTTTTCGTTTCTGTTCTCTTACTTAAGTTTGCCTCAACCAAATGTTACGAAACTTATACACAATACTTATTACCACAAAGCTCAGATCAAGTACAAATTTGGGTTACTTTTACCGTCCTTTTGTAACTTTATATGATATGCAAGCGGGGGCATCATCTGTGTCCCATGGACACATTCCCCATTAATTTTAAATAGAAACATCCTTCTGTTAGATAACTGTTTAAGGCATTCCTAATTAAATAATTATAATGAAAAATTCAGTTTTGTATGGACACCTGTCTTTTGTTGAAGACTGTATGTTGCCCTCTAGTTGTCTTTTGGTTAAATTTATCATTGGCCTCACAGTGTGTCATTTGGTTAAATTTATCATTGACCTCACAGTGTGTCATTTGGTTAAATTTATCATTGGCTTGCTGTGTCATTTGGTTAAATTTATGATTGGTTTCCTGTGTCATTAAAATAAATTCCAAATCTGACATGTTCTTTTTTTCAAACAACCAGTGATTATTAAATAACTTTCTGATCATGGTCACTTGTCGCTGTAACCATAACTTTACAAAGATAAATGCACAAAACATTCTGGAGAATCACAAGCAAATAGATCTTGACAGAAAAGCTAAAACAGTACAAGGTCAATTTATCTAAGTGAGACACATCATTAGTTCTAATAATATTGAAACATAAGTCTTTGAATGAAGAGGTTAATTCATCTCAGTGCTAAAATTCTCTAAGATCTGCAAATAAAATAAAAAGGCATTAGAAAAAAATTGAAAAAAAAACTTTGGAAACCATGTCATAAGATGGATAAGGACTTTGTCATTGATTGGGCCTTCAAAATGTTTTGATTCAGTGTGTTGAGCAAACAAAATTAAAAACGATTTGTATCTTTAATGACTTTTCAAAATACTTTGAATGCATTATTACAAGCTAAAAAATTTATATGTAGATATTTATGAATAGACAAGTGTCAATTCCTAGCCAGCTGTATGTAAAACGTTTTAAAAATTTCAAAAATATCTGAATGGAACAGTGCCAACAATTGTATGGGTCTATTAGAAATGGACTCTAGTTGTGAAAGGAAAAAGTGCCCATACCTGTATGGTACACTCAGATGTGAATGGAACAGTGCCCAGATCGACCTATATGGAATTCCTAGATTTCGACTCAAGGTCAGGTTGTGGATGGCAGTCTTCCATCCACTGGAACACTTAGATAAGTCAACAAACAAATCCCCAAACGTGTGTGGCACACTTAGATGAGTCAACAAACAAATCCCAAACGTGTGTGGCACACTTAGATAAGTCAACAAACAAATCCCCAAACGTGTGTGGCACACTTAGATAAGTCAACAAACAAATCCCCAAACGTGTGTGGCACACTTAGATAAGTTAACAAATCCCCAAACGTGTGTGGCACACTTAGATTTCGACAATTCATGAATGGCCTTGAACACTTAGATCTCGACTCAAAATCGAGTTGGAAATTAGAAAATATCCAGAACTGTATGGAACACTTAGATGAAATGAAAAAAATGTCCACACCTGCATGGAACACTTAGATGTGAATGAAAAAATGTCCACACCTGTATGGAACACTAAGATGCGCACGTCAACACCTGCATGGAACACTTAGATGTGAAGGAAAAAATGTCCACACCTGCAGGAAACTCTTAGATTTTTTAGAAGTACGGGTGTAATTAACACATCGCCCGAAACAGAGATGCATCATGTACAATTCTCTTTGAAGTTGGCCGCGTTTCCGTTCTTTTTAAATATACAGTTCCTTTGTTATATGTATACCCGACATAAAATGAATGTTTAATTATTTATTATTAATTATTTTTGATAGGTGTATGTGTAATGTGGCGGGGTTAAACAAATTTTGTATACGTTAAATAGACTACATACATACACACAAAGATGTCTGTTGGACAGTTACAATGATCACATATATAACAGCAATGGATAAATGATTGAAGACGTGAAAGGCCCTAGACATTCTTCAAATTTTATTTTGTTTTCAGGATAATGGTTGTTTGAGAAAGATGTGCAACTTAACGGATTTCTAAAGAAAATAACAAGCAGACTTTAGCAGCACATTAATTGAGAAAATAATGTTTTCAATTTAATCGACGCATATTCATATTCTGTGTGCAGGTCAGGTTCTGTGACCAGTTTAATAAAATATGATTAATACTTACATTGTTAAGAAAAAAATGCACATCATATTGAAAACCTAGCGCCTGTCTTCTGCATAGATAAGTGTTAGATTGGGAACCTGTAATTGGCAAATTTATGTATAGGCACGTGCCTAGTCGAGCCTTAGGTAGCTACGTCACTGAATATGTATAAAATCCTACATCTGAGTTTCTATCGGTTTCATCATTCAGACGCCATCCTAGAACCTGCAGATCAAAGAACAAGGAAATCCCGACAACTCACCTAAAGCATCAAAAGATACATAAAGACATTCAATTTTCTCATACACCATGTACACAATACCACAATACAAGAAATGATAAAATTTACTGATTCAGTCTGTTATTGTATATCTTTAAATAGAGAATAGTTCACGGCTAATATTCTATTTACTCTTTTTTTTAAATTTCTTGTACTTACACCCCAGTTCTATTGTTGTGCTTCATAGTTTCTATTTCTGAAACAAGTGTAAATTGAATAGATCTATTGTTACGAATAACAATGGATTTAGGCCACAGGGTGTGACGAGCGGGGTTCCTGGAAACCCCTGCTTCTACATCCCGCAAACAAAGTCCATTGTTATTCGTAACAATAGAAATTGATTATTTTTTAAATAGCATGAACATAAGAAATTACTAATAGTGTTCACTACAAATTGTTTCATGATATTAAAAAAACACATTTTAGGAAATTCCGATAAGCATCTATATGGAATACAAAAATAATCCTTTAAATACTCTTTTGCTTGAAGGTATTATTTTTTATCCCAGTCATATGTCTCTATTCTAAAGCATTGATCTTTAAAAAAAATGAGGATTCTAACTCCGGGACCCCCCCCCCCCCGGGTTACCCAGTGGCCGATCCGGGGTTGGGGTTCCGCGGGTTGGACCCGACTTTTATTTAAAAGATCAATGCATTTGAATGGTTGGAACCCCCGGTTGGATCATCCCCTGATTGCCCCCAAAAAGGGATTTCCTCAATATTAAATATTGTATGTTGAGCGTGTCTGGTAGTCGGGTTTCTAATGCAGACACACCTATCTATCCCTTAGTATGTTCGAGTATGAATGTTTGTTTATTCTCGAGAAGAAAGGGGGGGGGGGGCTTTTGATTTTGATAAAATCGTAAGATATAAAATACAGTTATGATTACCTTTATCTGTTTATTAAACTGATACAGGTAAGTACTTTGAGTTATAATATTGCCTTTATCTTTAGTCTCTTCTACCAAATCCAGCGCTTGCCACAAAATGTCGTCCGTCTTATACCAGTCCATATTGACAACTGTATACCAGGAGCATGATGTATTTTTTGTTTGTTATAAGAATACACGAAACAGTCAACCTTGACCTGCTGATCCATATTAGCACATGGATTTAACGGGAATATGCAAAACAACTTGACATTTGTAAAATATACTCACTTGTCAAAGTTTGAACTAAGATAACCAAAGAAAGGTTACTAGTGGGGTTTATTGTAATAACAAAATATTCTTATAAATCATGGTTTGATATTGTCAATAAATATGCTATCGTTTTTTTTTCCATTTAATAATCAATGTCAACAAATATAGGGTTTAGAATGGGGTGTAAGTTAGTTATACACCTCGGGATACGGCGTGTCTGGATAAGAAACCCCTCCGGCCTCCGGCCGACGGGGTTTCTTATCCAGACACACCTATCCCTCGGTGTATAACTATTACATATAGTTTTAACCACTTTATTTGTTCGTCTGTAATATCCTATTTAATTGTGCAATATAGCACTGAATTTCCACAATCTACTTTTTGTTTAAATGCTTTTTTAAACGAGCTACCCATGCGTCTATATTCAATCACCAACGACATATAAACTAAAGAAGTAGAAGATGCCCTTGTGTGCTTATGTTGCAGTACACTTGCTATTACATCCCTGTTCCAGGTTAGGGGGTGGTCTATTATAGACATTTAATCCGACCACCCAGTTCTTTATTTTCCCAGCTGTACCAGATCAGCAACCGATTGTTGTTGTTTGTTGCCGTCTGTCATAATTGTTTTCCTATTCATTTTACGTGTATATTATTATATGTAAACATGTATCACTAATCACGTTAACATGCCATTAATGTATAATACCAGAAAATGTATAGAATAACAAAGGACGTGCAACTCTTTCTAAAGTTTGGGATAAATGTGTACAAAGACTAAATAATGTTGTAAATAAACTCATGATAATATTCC